AAATGACTGCTTTCAGGTTCCTTCTGGTATGGGCTCTTGTGATTTGTGTTAGGGATTGGCAAGGGCAGACGTCCCCTACTAGGGTTTGCATATAGTTCTGCATGTGATGGGACAGCCCAGGGCAGGTGCCCCTCAAGTCCTTCCTGCTCATTTCCGATTTGGTCTATTCTTAGCCCTTTACACAAGGTGTTGGCCCTGTGTAGGAGGAACTCCTGTGGTTGTCCGTCTGCTGCCCTCAGGAGCTGTCATTAAGAGCACTCACGACCTTTGGCTCCAGAACGTACCAGCCATGTCCTGCCAGCCACTGCAAGGAAAGGCACAGGGAGCAACAAGGCACAGCTCCTCCCTAGGAACTAGGGAAGAAGCAGATGGTGCCTGGGAAAGTCAAGTAAGGCAGACAGAACCAGGCGGGCAGAGGAAGAAAGCCGCAGCCAGATCAAGGCAGTGCCCTTGTCTTTCAATATTTGGCCAATAGCACAAGATGCAGTGTTTTAAGCTAGAAATTAAACCTTTAAAATAGCTAAGGATGGGTGAGAAAGAGGCTGATATTGCCATTGCAGGAATTTAGACTCAGCATCATCTTTTTCCCCAGTGAAAGATGTTGGAAAAAATCTCTGAGCGGGCATAGTTGCCTCTTTCTTCTTCTAAGTTTTGAAACTGGGACAGGCACATGTTGATTTGGGATGCTCTGGGGGCAGTCCTCTTACATGCCTATGATTTTATAACCTGTGATCGACTAACCACTGCAATCTCCAGGATCAGAAGGTTGAGTTGTGGATGAGAATGGAATATTGTTTATACAACAGTGACCAGCTGAGGATGATGAGAAAACAAGACAGATGTCACCTGGAAGAATTTTCTACTACCTTCATTTCATTCATGCCTGGGCCTTCATAAGAAGAACTGGTGTTGATTTAAATTCACTCTCTGTAGGAGACCCATGTTGTACTTATGAGAAGGGTTGTCTGGCAAAGTTAGTAATCAACAAACAGTTTGGGATGAGATGAACGGAACTGGTCTTCATGAGGTGGCCCATCCACTGAGAGATGAACCCCTTGCTGTTGACCATTTTCCCTTGAGCAGTGGTCTTTTCTAGGTCTCCCTGGAGCTTCTCAAAACTTTTCCTGGCAGTTTTCTGGTCTACCCTGGGAATGTTATTTAGATCTAGGTGAAATTAATTGCAATATAGTTTTACTTTAATATTTTTCAGTTTGGCACAAAAATAACAGATTTTAACCTTTTGATAAAAAAAACTCAAATCAGTGTATGCATGGAGCTCTCATTAAGTGTAATAACAGAGCTGCTGTTATTATACATAACAAGTTTGATACACTCACTTTGAGTAAGGAGCCATTTTTCTTGGCAAAGAAAAACCTATTATTTGTGTCAATCATGTATCATATGACCACCCCAGCCCACTCTACTAAAGAGAGTCAAGGACAGAGGACATGTGAAGGAGTGGGTGATATAAAATATGCCCCAGCCCTATCCTCCTTAAGGGATCTGAAGACCTTTGCATGTGCTTTCCTCTTCTTGCTTTTGTTCTCAGGTAAAGGATAGGTCTTCTAGGGGTCATTTATAGCCCCCTGTGAGCAAGAAGCAGAGAAAAAATGGAGATAGAGTGGAGGAGTGTGGTGTGAGAAACTTTTTTAGGAATGAGTAAGATCACTGGGGACTAATCAGATGAATTTAAACCAAATTGCCCCCCTCATCATGGCCTTAAAATATAAGAAGCTCCCCTGGATATCACAGGCTTGTGACAGTGAGTTCAGAGTTCAGAGATCATCTGAGGAGATGGAGGTTTCCTTCCATGCAGAAGCAAAGAGAAGGGGCAAGACCTGTTGATCAAGGAAGAAATAGAGCTCACAGAAGTGATGCTAATGAGATAAGTCATAATTTAGAGGTGTGGTGCTGTATGGTAAGCACTGGACTGCTAACCATGAGGTCAGTGGTTCAAACTCATCAGCTGCTCCTCAGAAACCCTATATGGGGTTGCTACGAGTCAGAACCAACTCCATGACACTTAACAACAACAACAGTGTATTTCTGGGAAAAAAAAAAAAAAAAAAAGGAGAGCCAAATTTTCTATTATTCCTCTAGTTAAAGGAATACAATATAGGAGGTTTGTGGGCTTATTTGTTGGGAAAAGTAATGAGGTAAGAAAGGAAAATAGCTTATTATTTTATTGTACAGTTCTTGATATCAATATGCATATCACCTACCAAAAGTGAATATTGGGAGTTGATGGTTTGCTTTTTAATTAGGAACACGTGGGCAAGAAGAGAGTTTAGATAATTGAAAAACAAATAAACAAAGGTAGGCATTGTGCTCAGAAGAGAGCTAAAGAGTCTTGTGGCACCCATAGGTGACTTGTCAGGGGCAAATGGCAGACGAAAAGTGGATTCCCAGTATGGGATGAGACCACCACTTCACAATGGGTACAAAAAATGACCCTGCCACAGAGCAGCCTTAAGGATTTGCATTTTCAAGACCAAAGTCATCAGATACAGAGACAGGCTTGAAGGGATGAACTCCAAGCACTGAGAGTGTGAATTCCTGCATTGACTGCCAAGGGTTAGCTAGCCACCAGCAGCCCCTCTGAAGGAGAAGGGCACTAGATGGGGAAGAGAAGACCATAGGGAGGCAATAGCTAGAACTACTGGCTTAAGAGTTTCCTTATGAGTGATGACATGTAGTGAACTGATAGAACTGGCATGCTGAAGAGACAGATGAAAACTAGTTTGGTCATTTGTTTTTTCCTCCTCTACTCGCTGTCTCCTTCCTTGTGTTCTACTTCTGTCCAAACATTTCTTCCTTTTCTCTGTCTCTGCAAAAAAATGGATTTCCTCTCTACTGCCTATAGATGTATATTTTCATTATTAGTCAAGGTACTCCTCCGTGATGGAAGGCTGGGATGAAGGGTGGGGAATACTACTTCAAGGGAAAAGTGTGTCCTTCTGCCTGCGTCTCACAGAGCCCAGTTCAACAGAAGTGGAAACAAAGCATTTCTGGCGTTTCCTGTGATCTTGTCATTTGTTCTCAGTGGCTAAGACCACAGAGGACCCTCCCTGAGGTGGAAGCGATCATCCTAACTTTTGGTGCTCATGATCAGAGTCAGCCGTTTTCTAAATTTCATGTAAACATAAACATACACACACACATACACACATGTGCTTGATGTGGAGCTCTAAAATAGAGGTGGCAAATTAAGACCTATGGCTGCGAAGAAATGAGAAGAGAATAAGAAGGAAATAAACCCAAGAACAAACAAACCGAAGGGGCAAAAGTCCCAAAGGGGTACGTGGGAGACAGCGTCAAGGAAGCTGAGAGGATTGTGTGGTGACAGTCGACATAGCTTCAGCACGCAAGCCCCAAACCTGAGGCAGACAAGAGCTGGGAGGCCAGCAAGCCAGAAGGGGGTGGTCACCTCTCAAAGGGCCTCACTTTCCACAGCCTTAGCAGAGTACGAAGCGGAGCTAAGCACTCAGTAGATTAAGAGGAATAAAAAGGAAACTTACTTAAGGAAAAGCACCGCTGCCCAGATTCAATCTCCCAAATGACAAATGAGGGGCACACGGAACCTGTGCCTTTGGATGGGCAGAGGGATGCCGTTGACAGGCCTGTGAGATAGGTTGTCACGAGGCCTTGGTGTGCTCTGTTCAGTCTTGCTTCCTAGAGTGGGTTTGTTCCACGGCCACCTGCTCTCCTGGGTCTCCGCAGCGTGCTAGTCCTCCTCCTCTTTCCTATCAGGGAGGGTCCGAGGAGAAGACTGGGCACCGCAAAGTTTCAGTAATAATACACGAAATCAAGGACATCTGAACAAAGGAAAGGGTATTCGTTTTATAACTGATATTTAAAACTTGTTCTTTTTAAAATTTATATAAACAATGAAGGGGGTGGTGAGGAGAAGCCTCTTTGAATAATAATAATAAAACACAAACATAAAAAAAAAAAAATTCCTCAGGTTTTGAACTTCTATGAAGAACAGTCCAATATGAGGTTTTGCACCCTAAACAGTTATATCTGGAATTTAAAAAAAAAAAAAGCAGTTACACACAACAAAGACTA